TTAATTTGGTAGGAGTCTGGGCACAAAATTGTACAGGTAGTCCTCAATGTACAACCACAATTGACCCCAAAATTTATGTTGCTAAGTGAGAAATTTTTAAAGTGAACTTTCTCCCATTTTACAACTTTTCTTCCCACATTTGTTAAGTGAACCACTGCAGTTGTTAAATTAGTAACATGGCTGTTACGTGAATCTGGTTTCCCAATTGATTTTGCTTGTCAGACAGTCACAAAAGATGGTCACATGAATCCATGCAACTGTCATAAATATGAGTCAGTTGTCAAACATCTGAATATAAATCACATGGGGATGCTGCCATTGTAACTTTGAACAGTCACTAAGTGAACTGTTATAATTCAAGGACTACATGTATTATAGTAACACATTTTCAAGCAGTAAGTATGGGCATTAAGTTTAGGACGTAGTAACTCTTTAACTGTAGTAAAGTAAAGTAAATTGTTTTAGCATATCAGCAATATTAAAAAAGATGGTACAAGAGTAAGCATTTTATTGAATATATGTTGTCCTCAACTTACAACAGTTTAGTGACCGTTCAAAGTTACTGTGGCACTGAAAAATGTGACTTATGACTGTTTTTAACACCTTTGCAGCATCTTCATGATCATGTAAACAAAATTCATATGCTTGGCATCTGGTTTATATTTATGACCATTGCTATGGTCATAAATGCAAAACGTTATGTGATCATCTTTTGTGACCTTCTCACAAGCAAAATCAGTGGGGAAGCTAGATTCACTTAACAGTCAGACTACTAATTTATCAATTGTAGTGGTTCACTTAACAATGGCAAGGTCATAAAATGAGGCAAAATTCACTTAACATATGTCTCACTTAACAGCATAATTTTTGGGCTCAATTGTGGTCATAAGTTGAGGACTACCTGTAATTGCCATATCAAAACACTATAAAAACAATACAGAAAGAACAGTGGGACATATTCATAATAAATTGTCATCCCTGCAGTTAACTCCAACCTGTTCTAATTAACCTAGAGTCAGCAAAATGATATTTGATATAAAAATTATATCTTGCTAGTAATACTCAGGTTGTTCCCTGCAAGAAGTTCCCTCTTGAAATGTGAGAACCAGGAACCTGTTTCTGTATAAGCAGTTTGTACTTTGGCATTAACCTGAAAAAACACACACGGTTGCCAGGTTTTGCATGGTGGCATGCAAAATCAGGCAAAGAATAATTAAGAACAATTGAATTTTCCTGAGTATGGATAGCCAAAAAGGGCTCAGGCTCACTATTAACCTTTGCTTTTAGAGGAACATTCTATGCCAGCTATTGTACTACATTTTTCTCAGGTTTGACAAGCTTCTGTAAGAGAAGTATATAATTCTTAAATTCCTTTTGATTAATTTTATTGCTTTATTTATGTATATCTGTGTGTTTGGAGGTGCTTATATCTATGTGTCTATGTACAGTATTTACATAGTATTTTTATTATATTATCCAGATTGGTAATTTTAATTTTTTTCTTGTTGTATATGTATAGCCTGAGCAAGCCTTTTAGGATATTTTGATGGGTCTTGTAATAAGGAGATTACCTGATCTGATGTAATCTCGTTATCACAAGACCCACTGATGACTCACAGCTGACCCATCACAAGATCTTCACTTGACACACCCACACCTGAAGCCCCATAAACAGAAGAACACTGACATTGACATTCCCTAAACTCCACTGAAGATGTTACCTAGCCTGATAACGAAATTTTCAGAAACCAACCCACAAGCTTGGAGAATGAACTTTCACCTCATAGTCTGCATTCAACAGGAGTTTATCTCTTTGCAAACCTTCATAAAAAATACCATCACCAGCTTGCCCCTTTCAGTCCAAATTGTATCCTTAATTTAATTTAATTAATTGTCCTTAATCAGATATCTCGTTGCTCAGCTTATCCCTGTGTTATTTGGGGGGTGGGTAGAAATTGAGCCTTTCCTTTATCAAAAAGTACTTTCATTTAAGTAAAATATGTAATCAAAATCATTCAGAAGAGGAAGTTCTATGGTAACTGTTGAATTCACCATATCCTGCCTTATGCATCATTTTCATTTCTGCTTCTCTGTAACTGAATGGAATATCCATAAATTTTTGTTTGGTTTGGGGATGAGACAGAGGGAAATGTTCTTAATGAATCACGCATATTCATTGCATAACTGTGGGGAGGGGGGATTTCCCCCCAAGAGAACATTCTTAGTAGCAAGAACATTTATCTGTGGTTATTCTTTGCAATCAAGTTCCTTGAATTTAAGCAGGCAATTTTGCTCATCTTGAACATCAAAAGTATTTATATATACTGAGATAATTGCATTCATTAAAAATGATCAGCTTTCCTCAGTTTGGTGCCCTCTGAATACACCTAGCCACTCTAGACAGAAGGTTAATTAATTAATGCAGTTTCATTTAAATCAATCTTTATAAAATAAAATTTTGCTGAGACCTATCTTTCAATCAACACTTTCTTCAATCAATTTTTTTGGGAATACAGTTCTTTTTTTTATTTTAAGAAATAACACATTTTGGGGAAAATATTTTCTCAGCATTTAAAATGCACATTTTGTGCTGTGAAATTGTTCATTTTCTTCCCTGCTAAGATAGCATTTGCAGTAGAAATTGTTCTCCTCAACACTGATCTTGCATCTATGGAAAGCATTAGGTGAAAGATACCGCAGAATATGTAAATGTAAAAAGCCTGCTGATATCATAGGATACAAATGTACAAATTTATTTCCATTTTATATCACTTTGTAAATTGTTGAAATGTTCCGTACATGTTGCCATATGTACAGACACATATTGTTAAAGAGATTGAAAAAAACAAAAGTTGTGAATGATGTTAGCTATTCTATGAAGCAAGTCATGAAAGGAAATACTTTATGTGAATGGATATAGAACATCGAATGGTTTAGTATGAATTTTATTGTGGCAAATGTATATCTAGAACATGGGTGTCCCAATGTTTTGGCTTGCCTGGGCTGCATTGAGTGAATTGTCTTAGGCCACATATAAAATATACAATATACAGTATAATATAGTTAACATATATAAATAACAACTTTCCTTTATTTTTTATAATTTTTTATTATATTTTGTGAGCAGCATGACTGCCCAGGGTCTTCAGGCCACGGGTTGGACACATCTGCTCTAGATTATTATCTATCTATCTATCTATCTATCTATCTATCTATCTATCTATCTATCTATCTAATTTATTGTTGTCGTCGTCCCCCATTTTACTTCAGGAAGCAAAAACTGAAAAGTATCTTTTCCTAAATGTCTAAAAAGAAATTCGTTTTCATTAAACCAGGAAAAAAACTTAAAATGTAATTGTCCATTTGAACATCTTTCAAGAGGAAGAGAAATTTTCAACATTTCACTTAGTAAAATATTCTGTAACGGTTTCCAGAATGTGTTTGACCTTGATAAATTTAGGCACTTCAGAAATCATTTTCTCTCCTGTTTATTTGTTGTATTCACTCCTTTCTTTTGAGATTTTGATTATTCCGAGCAACTGTAACTGTAGATGCAATGGTCATAAATTGTTACATGGGGAACGAAGAAAACAGTGACTGAAAACTGTGAAGTGTCTTTTGCGGCTTTCTGTGCAATAGTTCTATGGAATGCAATCTCAGACATGTTGTGAGCTTGTATTGTTCAGAAACTGTTCCAAATCACATGACTTCAGCTAGCTTGGTGAACCGAGTCAACCTATTTCTCATTCTGTGCTAGTTTATTTAAAACTAGAACATAGCTTTTTCTCTTTTTGCAAGCAGCACCGCAACAACCCTTATTTGATGGCCATTTTGTTTTTCCTCAGAAAGACACCTTTTGAGTGCCATTGTAACTTCTGATCGTTGCCAAACAAATGGTTGTAAATTGAAGACACTTCCAAACCTGTAGTGGTATGGAAGTGCCTTCTCTGTTTAAGAATGTTCTTAAGAAGACTGTTTTTCAGCAGAGGCTTAAAACCTGCTTGTTATTCATTTTAAATAAATTCCATTTTCCTATTTCCTTTTCTTCATCATTTGAAACACATGACTGAAAAAAGCTAAATTTATTCATGTTTAGCTACAGTAAATTATACTGTTCGTGTTTCAGTAACGGTTTGCAGTTCCTCACATGAATACATTTAGAAGCATCTGTTTTCTTCTGTTTTAAAATTAATGATTGTTTTTAAAACAGGTTTGATGAGACTAACATGCTAAAAGTTTTTTAGGCAACTTAACCATTTGTCTAAATAATACCCTTGCATTTCCCATAATTATTACTTCATAATGTCTACTTTGTATATGTTTTGCATGTTTTAGTCTAATTTCAGATGACCTCTAAATTGAGAAATATTTTTTTCTAGGACATTGATACTATTGCTTTAATTAAAAGTAACATCTTCAAGAAAAAAAATCTATAAATTCAACAGTATAAGTTTTAAGACTGCAATTATATTTTTCCCTTCTCATTTGTAACTTCTTCAAACTTTTATCTATTTGTGCATCTCAGAAAATCTGTTGCAGACTGTATTTCCTGTGGTGCTTCCAGATCAAAGGTTTATTGTGCAGTCCTTTAAAATTAAATTTTACTATTTCCTCTATTTCCTAATGTAAAAAATACATGAAAAAATATGAAATAGAACAATTGCTGTCCAATAATTTTTATTTAATAGCCTTTAAATCTTTTACCTGGAAGCATTCCTAAAGTTTTTCATTTATAACTCTATAGAAGGACATTTGTTCATTCTGAGTAGTAAAATGTTTCCTTTTTATTTGCAGTATAGAATGAAATATATATTAAAAAACCCAAACAATTGATTAATAATATAATTAATATATAGATACTTTCTACAAAGATCTTCCCTCAAAATTTGCAATTTAGAAATACAGGAAGATATGTTAAAAAAACAAAGAGATATTTTCCTGCTCCTTTGGAATGTCTTTAATTAAACTATATTCCTAATAGTTTACCTTTTATTTTTCAGGTTGTTACTTTGTGGTATAGAGCTCCTGAAGTTCTGCTTCAATCCAGTTATGCAACACCAGTTGATCTTTGGAGTGTAGGTTGCATATTTGCAGAAATGTTCCGTCGCAAGTAAGCACTAATTTAAATCCTTTATATATGGAGAGAAAAAATAGCTTAATTTATAGTATATCTATACTATGTAATCTATATTATAACATAATACTAGTATTATATGAACTGTTATTTTGTTTAATATATTGATTGATTGATTGATTGATTTTCTTAAGAATGTCTTCATTAGACCAGATTTTAAGATGGTGTAATAATATAGTAGTAACATATTATTTAAAACAATATACTTCAGAGATTCATGATGCAACAGCAAGTAAAAATGTCAAGGCAGTCTGGAATATATGCACCTTGGGGAAGTTTGGAAAATAAAAATGTTAGAACCTGGCATTGAACAATTGTAAAGTAGAAGCCATGGGAAGTCCATAAGAAAGATATTCCAAAATAATATTCAGTTATTATTCCAAAATATTGAAATTATCAGAAGATTTAACAGTAAACTAAAGAAATATTGGCTACCTGCAGTACCTATTCCTCTGCTCTCTGCTATCCTCTGTTTTCATCCATTTCTTTGTAACATTCAGATGATCACTAGAAATCCATCAGTTCTGAAACTTGAGTCTCTGACAGTTGTTTTATGTTTTCTTTATGTTCCAAACAGTGCTTCTGTTGATATTTGTATAAATCTTTTTATTGTTTTGTATCACATATTCAATTTCGGTGTTAAACAGTGTGTTTAACAGATATTTACTTGTCAGTTTTTCTTTCTCATGTAGTCCATATTTCACGTAAATCCAGCCCTCTAACCTCAGTACCTGTCAATTAACCATTTGTATAACCATGTTATAAAATATTCCTTTTCTTTTGATATTTGGAGTTAACCTATCCATTTCTGCACATTCCAGAATTTTTTTGATTATATTATCATCTGTAGGGGTTTCTAGATTTTTCCAGTATTGTGCATATACAATCCTGGCTAGAATATGTAAAATTAAATATGTGTTAGCCTTATTATAGTTTCCTGGAAGCATGCCCAACAGAAATGTCTCAGGTTTCAAATCTATGTGTTGTTTTGTCATAGTTTCCAGCCATATGTGTATTTTCTTCCAGTATTTTTTTGCTTTGGGACATGTCCACCATATATGAGCCTGGTATATGGTTGCATATCCAACATTTAACAGATTTATTTTTATATATATTTGCTAATCTTGCAGGTGAATTTATAAAACATTTTATAGAGATTTTCTGTATACGCTGTTGACATTGTGAGTTTATGATTTCTATTCCATAATTTCTTCCACCTGTCCAAATCTATTGTATAGCCAAATCTTTTGCATAGTTTCTTTTACTTGTTCTTCCTCCAATTTGAAAGTTAATAAATAATTGCATACCCTCTTGATTAATTTTTCTAATATTTATAAATCTGGTTTATTGAAATGTTCATAATGAGGCTTTTGGATATGATTTCTGAAATATATTATCTTGGAGAGACATATTTTTGAGTTCATAGTATGGGATTCTCAAATTGTTTCCTATTGAAATCTATGATGGATTTCTTTTACATAATAAGATTAGTATATTGCATTGTAACTTAAGCATTTTAGTATTCGTGAATTTAATTTAAAAACAATTTTATTTCCAAATATTAAAATTAAAATATTGGTCTGTGATATTATAATTGAATGAAGTTTCTGAAATACACAGATCCTAAATTTATGAAACATTAAATTTGATAAGCTAGAATTGGAAGCAGTTGAAATAATAAAAATATAAATGATTACCAACTATTTCCATACATTAGCAATAGCAATAGCACTTAGACTTATATACTGCTTCACAGTGCGTTATAGCCTTCTCTAAGCAGTTTACAGAGTCGGCATATCGCCCCCCACCCCCAAACAATCTGGCCCTCATTTTACCCACCTCGAAAGGATGGAAGGCTGAGTCAACTTTGAGCCTGGTGAGATTCGATCTGCCAAACTGCTGGCAGCTGGTGATCAGCAGAAGTAGGCTGTAGTACTGCACTCTAACAACTGCACCACCGCGGCTCCATTACCATTCTACAACTATTTGCTATATTGCTTTGAAAGCAAAATAATGTGCATTAAATATTTTTATTTGGAATTTTTAGCTTAGTTTAATCTTCATGACATCTTACTCTTAATATTGCTTTGTCCTTAGAATAGAATTGGACTTTTAGCTAATTATGGTTATGTCACTAGAGGAAGAGGGACTTGCAATTTAGGAGAGATTAGAGGATAAGAGAATTGTCTCCAGGTCTAGATAGATAATATCACATTGAAAGAACTAATATTGAAAGAACTAATAAAGATTATTGCAGCACAACTCTGAGTAATTTCTGAGAATTCAGGATATGTAAGATTCTAGATTCTAATTCCTACATATTGGAGGAAGACAAATGTCATTACCATCTTCAAAAGGGAGAAAAGGTGGAACTTCAGTAGCATATTTGTAAATATTTGGATAGGAACGCTACAGTTCACAGTAGCCCACACAAGTTTGTTGTTAGCAAACTGAACAAGAATAATGTGACATTATCACAGGACATTTTATCACTTGGGTTATGTTGCATTTTTATGTTGTCTGATACTACTGTAAGATACTACTTTATCTTCTTTGATCGAGTTGCTAGCAGAGTAGATTTTCAGAATAATGTAGACATAGTTTACTTGGATTTCAGCAAAGGTTTTGACAGATGGAGAATGTTAATAAATCTCAAACAGTCTGTTCCCAAAAGGAAAGTCTAGGAGGAAAGATGGGAATTAAGCAAAGGGAATCTTAATATGTATCAAGATTAGAAGGAAAAGGTTCAGAATCAGTGAAGAGTGGAACATTGTCAAACCAGATTCCAAATTGGTAACTGAGAAAATAATTTCAGTGAGTTAATTAAGTACTGATTCTGTTGACATTGTGTTCATTAAATGAGTCAGTTGATATTTATGCCAGAATCTTATTCTAAATGTCTTCTCCTACCTGTCTGTGAAATGTTTCAATGCTTAAAACTTAAAACTAAGCCTGAATGAGCATTTCTGGCTTAAGGATCTGTACCTATCAATTATTTACTATTCTAGATATTTTCTTTAGTTTCTAAATTCCTAGGTTCTGAGCCAGTACAATTTTTGGGGTATTTTCACACAGAATTCTAAGGCATAGGTCAATAGATCACTATTCAAGATCTGATGGTTGAAATTGCAGTATGGCTATTTTTGTTTCTTTAAATCTTGGTTAGCTAATTTTGTTACTTGTCAGGGTTTGGATTTGTGACAAAATGATGGTAGTGCAGATGGGAAGAATAAAGGAATGGCAGGAGGCACAGAGTCTTACAGGTAGTGCAGTTGTGACTGCTAGAGTATAAAGAGGAGAACTCTCTATAGTAGTTGAGTGGACTACTTGAAGGAGACTTGTCCTCTGTGAAAAAGGGAATGGCTTCTGCAAGCGGAATGTAGCCCTGACACCCAAGGCTCACTTATCAGACTTCAGGCACGTTTGCTGACAACAAAGTAATAAGGGAAAGAGATAAAGAACTTAGAGGCAGCATGCATGCATATTTATTTCGGATTCTCTTACAGACAATTCATCATTTTGAATATTCAGAGGTGGTAACATCAAACCAGGGAGACCCAGATTTGGGTCTAAGGTGCCTTCAGATTTATTGACAGATGAAATGCATAATCACATAGCAAAGTTTTGCCTTTGATGCTCTCCCTCAAAATTGACTAATTCAGAAATTGGATGAGCATATTATATGAACAAAAAAAAAATCTAATCATTCTCAAATATGGGCAAAATGTTTTCCCCACAAAATATACTGAATGCTGATTTTCTTTCACATTCATATTACATTTCTGAATCTAAAAGTTTCTTTTCCAGCTCTGTTTGTGCACCCTGGGGGCAAAGACTTAAGACTCTGCCAAAAATATTGCTTTTCTGCAAATTAGTATGCCTTGCTGCCTTTTTGTCTGGCAATCAAATATGATTCAAGCTGTCATTGTTATCCTGTTACATAGAGAGGTTGTTGTGTTAAATTAGAGGCCTGCATTTATTCAGACTTATGGTAGAAATTCAGAACTTGGAATCAGAATGAAAAAAGATAATCTAATAGACTGGCCACCTGTCTAGGGATGAATTAAAACCTTGTTTAGGATTAGCTCATCAGTTTCTAATATATCTTTATACCCATAAAACAGAAAGGCTTAAAGGGAAGATAAAGTGCTATCTAGATGTTTTCTACTAGGATGAGAAGAAGACAATCTCTTCATATAAAATGTTTAGAAATTAATAGGGCAAAGTTTAACATAGCTGCAGATGTGCTTGGATTGGGAGCAACAAAAATGATACATAGCCATGAATATATTTACGCTGATTTAAAACATTAAAATTCCCACAATTGATTTTAAATTAATATAAAAAAGAGTGGATACCCAATTATTTCTACACTTTTATTATATGTAAGTTTTCATTAAAAATACAGACGAACTGGGACCATATATTATATTAGAATATTAGAAATCCTTATCTTTAATGCTTTATTACATATAACTTATAAGTTAAGCCTGAGCTGATTTGATTTGGAATCTAAAGCAAAAAACCTACTAGGACAAAAAAGAACCTAGCTTCAGAAGTCTTACATGATGATTTCATCATTCCATAATGGGATGGAGATGGCAGATTTTTGTCTTTTTCATGCAGATATTTTGGCATACCACATGTTGGATTGTAACTCACTATGTTAGGAAATATGGAACCAGTAGATAGTAAACAATAATCTTGTCATATGGTTAGGATCAACCCTCTTAAAATAAATAATCTCATAGAGATTTTACTCATCTATTTGTTTGAAGCCACCTCTATTTTCCTGTATAACCATTTTTAAGACTAAGTTATAATTGCAGATTTTACTGTTTTTCTTTCCTTTTCCTTTTTTCCTTTATTATTTTAATTTTGCATTTTTATTTCATTGAATGAAATGATTCAAAAAGTAACATTAACAATAATTTTGTTATTGTAAAGTATATTACAATTTTTCTGCAGGCAATATT